TGGTCGCCAAGACGAACTCGTTGGCGGTAAACCGCCAGTCGTAAAGTAACTCTGACCCTTGACTTTACCCAGTCAGTTAAGAACCGGCAGTCGAGTTCTGGAGTGCTCAGTCCAGTGAGGCTCTGTACGGGAGGGTGTGAAGAAAAGGTCAGTTGCAAGAGTACGGCTGTGAAAAGAAGACTTTATGTGTAATATTTGGACTGTGTAATTCAGTGAGACTCTTTAAGTTCTTGTGTTAAAATCATTTGCCAAGAAACGGCTAGTGGAGTCTGTAATAGACTGAGGACACTGGCCTGTGTGTGTCAGTCATCTGTAAAGTGGAATTACAAGTCTTGTATTGACGTGGTCAATAAATCCGATATCCAAACCAAACTCCGTCTATAGTCACACACATAAATCGTGACAATATTTTAAAGATTGCTTAATTTCAAGAAAACTTAAATGCGTCCCGTTCACAAAGGCCAGACGTTAATGATATTTGTGGAAATGATCATTACGTGTTCTGAAAACCAATAGACACCGTAGGTAAAGTTTGTAGACGAATTGTAGTCATTTAACCTTAAATCATGTGGCACGCTGTCCCAGAAATGGTTGATATACGGTTCTGAAAAGTGTGTAACGTGTGTGCATCTTAGAAAACTACATAGCTTTGTTATAACCGTAATTTCGTAAAGCGACAACATGGTTTCCACATGAAATGCATAATAAAGTCTACACAAGCTTTACTCTGATGTCGCTAACAGATGAACCAGCAGTGAAGCATGCCACTTTTGGTTTTGAAGTAATTTTTTTTTAATGTTAGTGAGGTGGGACTAAGTCCCTTGTACTGCGGCCACTTCTGGCCTATTGTGCCAGCCCCAGATGATAGGTGAGGGTGATTGTGGAGCAATTGGTGGAATGAAGATTGGCAGTGGAAACCGAAGTACTCGGAGAAAACCTGCCCCAGCGCCATTTTGTCCACCACAAATCCAATTTTACCAGACCCGGGATCGAACCCGGGCCGCAGCTGTGGGAAGCCAGCGACTAACCGCTTGAGGTATGGCGCGGCCTGGTTTTGAGGTAAATCATAAACTGTCACGAAGCATGCTATGAAATAAACCGAGTACCCGGGTTCGAGCTGTTCTGATCACCGTGATGCTTAATGTCGACTTTCGCGTTCTTTCTGTAGGTATCTGTATACTAACCCATAACCTGCGGCACTTCTGGTGTACTTCCTTGCAGCCGCAGTGAAGATTGACTAACACACTTTTATTGTTGCTTCATTCCAGCAACTCGGAGTGAAACCCCAGCTCGAAACTTCTGATGAATGTGGCAAAGATTCTTTGAATGAAGCTGTCAGGTGAGTAATACGATCCCGTGACTTGGATATGCTGATTTGACTATTAATTTTTCGCGAGTTTTGACGTATCCACAGTGGTGACATCTGGGATGTATTACCGTACAGTCTTGCAGATCGTTGCGTGAGGATTGTACTGCCTCCATGTTCAGGGCGGAAGAGAGAGCCTAGAGTGGGAAGAACTGATCCTGATATGGGGAAGGGGGGCCGGAAGTGGGGCTGGGTCAGTATGTGACGGTAGCATTAAGAAGTGACAGATATACCGAGGGCGGGAATAAGGGGAGTTCGAAATGCGTACGAGGAAAAGGACATGGATAAGAGGATGAGCAAAAAAAGAAGTCCGTGGCCTGTAGTCCACAAGCGAACTATACCGACCGAGCGACCGCCGCTTGTCCGCGAAATTAGTGCTAACATTTTGCGGATAGAGGGTGTCGCGTCGTCAGCGCAACGGATCCCCACGGCCGTTAATCTCGAGGATGAACACGAGTAGAAATTCCAAGGGTAAACAAGTAAGAAAATAACAAAAGAGTAAAGAAAGCAGATGGGAACGGACTGAAGAAGCGTTACGAGGTAAAATCAACTGTCAATCTTCACGGCACTAGATTTCGGGAAGTGGTCAGCTTCATGCTTCCGGTTCTTTACCCCGAGGTACCCACTGGATAGGAGGCTGGATGGGCCTCAGAGCCAGTCTTGATGCTGTGGAGTAGGGAAAATGTTACTTCTGCCGCGAAGCGCACTCCGGCCTTCCAACTCGCAGCCCGTCGCTGTACCGACCGAACTCTCCCGGCTTCTGGCAGGGCTTTAATGGCATACGAAAGTAGCTCTCAAGTTACGACTATGGTGCAACTTTTTGTGACGACACTATCACGTATAAGGGGAACGTAAGTTCCCCTCTGGACGAGGGATTACTGCGTATCTGTTTCATTTATTTAACTTGTAAAATTATTGTAATTCTCATTAAACTCTACATGTGTGCCCATACATACCGGAGTCTCTTTCCTTGGTAGTAAATCGGCCGGGGCGTGAAGCTGACCACTCACCTCTATCTAATGCTGAGGTCAATAATGTTGGAGCTATACTTCCACTCCCCTATACGTCATCATGGCGTAAACACAGAGGCAACTTGACATTTTTTCTCAATTCTCTCGGTATAGTATGCCTACTGTAAAATAGGCACCGACGCGCACTTCCAAATACTTACTTACTTACTTATTTACTTACTTACCATTCACATCACAAAACATTCGACGCAGTTGATACAGCGGCGTAGAACCGCCGCAGACTACCCCGCCATCTGTTGGAGAGGAATCGAACCTAAGCCTTCTGTACGTATATGAAGTGAACTGATCTAGGCGTCTTTTCCCCCACCTTTGTCTCCTTTGTTATGTCGCTTTGAATCCGATTTCACATTTCCCACCCACGCTTCATATTTTTCATACCTCTTTACGTCTAAAACTTACATTTTTTATACTTGGTATCTTCGTTTCTTATATAAAGTTCTTTCTCTTCTCTGGTTGTTTTATGAGACTTGTGCGCACTCCAGAGATTACTTACTATTGTTCCCCTGTATCCGTCGTCTTTCGTCATTTCTAATCGCCACTCACTCGACGCATCCGATACAATTATTACTTACATAAGGGTGAAAAGCGCTGACGTCAAATTCTTGCAGACTTCATTTGTTCTCTCTTGGCTTCTACAGTATTTTGAGTGCACTCAGCCAAAGCCGTGAAGGCTAGATGCTGACTTTGACACTTGTCAGCTCCATTTTGGGATTTTGCACACTATTCAAGCAAGTGTCCTCTAGTACAGATAATGACGCATGTGTGACTGCAGACTAGATCTCAGTAACTTTTCTGTAGGTTTTGCCACGGTCTTCGAAAATTAATAGTCAGAGTGCAAATAAAAATGGAAAGGAATTGTAGTCAGTGGTTGTAAAGTACGTGGAAGTTTCCGTAGAAGTTTCCCGAACAAAGTGTAACTAGTTTCTTTAAATTGCAAGAACATGAATTAGCAGTGAACTGTAAGGTTTATTTTGGACTCTATCCGTCGTCTGGTATATACATAAGACAACAAACTACAACGTTTCGGAGACTGGATCTGTCTCCGTCCTCATGTGGATGGGACAAGGTAGACCTACTCAGTTGGGCCCGTTAGAAAGAGCTAGTCTCAATCACTGGACAGACTAGCTCCACTAAACCTCGTGAGGATAATTGAGGAACTAGTCGAATGGAAAAGTAGCGGCTCCGGTTTAGCAAACCGAGATTAACGGCCGGGGGAGTTCGTTGCGCTGACCACGCGACATCCTCTATCCGCTAAAGTTGGCACTAACTTCGCCAACAAGCGGCGGTCTCTCGGTCGGCATAGTTCGCTTGCGGACTAAAACCACGGAGTTTGTTTGTTTGTTTTTTTTATCTTTAGCAAATGTGTTAATATTCCTAGTATGGACAGCTAACCTTATCCCACTGCTGCCTCTGTGTTATGCACATGGCCTCTTGATATAAAGTTTATGTTGTACGAAATGTTAGGTTATGGAAGTTTTTATATGTGGGAACATACTACATGATGAGAGGTTGGACGTACCCTGTGGCACTGTCTGCTGCTTGCTGGCTTGTGATGAGAGATGTTGTCAACATGGCGGTGTATCGTTATGAGCCGCGGTTGTTTCGTGCCTTCCAGCCAGAATAAATACACAGACACACTGTGCAGTAACATCTCTTCTACTGCCATGCTCCAACGCGCCTAATTGCGTTTCCACGTTATTGCAGCTTCAGGGGCCACGTTTTGTCAGTGTACAGTCATTGTCTGTGCTGTCAGTAGCCCAGGATGCCTCTTTGAAATTTTAGTTTCGCCGCATTCAGTCGGATGTGTTGAAAGTGCCCCAGAACCCTTGTTTTAACAGTTCAGCTCGCTGACGCGCTGTTTGGTTTCTACTACTAAAATACTCGCTCAAAATGAATTCCTGTATTTCAAAATATTACCAAAATTCGCGTCGAAAATTCAACTGCAAAATTTTATAGTTGCTTTTCTAGCTGCATATTCCGTAATAAACCTCCCATTGACTCACTATTACACATCGTAGCCCTTGAAGGACACTTTAAAATCACGATTTTACTAAGTATTCACGCTATGAAATCTGAAAAGAAGTTTGATTTAATAATAATAGTAATAATAATAATAATGACCGCCTTTGTGGTCTAGTGGTCTGAGTTCCTGGCTACAGATCCAGAGGTCCGGGTTCGATTCCCGGCGCTACCAGATTTTCTGAGAAGCAGAGGGTCTGGAACGGGGTCCACTCAGCCTCGAGAGGATAACTGAGGAGCTATTTCAAGGAAATAGCGGCTCCGGTCTAGAAAACAGAAATTAACGGCCGTGAGGATTCGTTGCGCTGACCACGTGACACCCTCTATCCGCAAAATTGACACTAACTTCGTCCACAATCGGCGATCGCTCGGTCGGTATAGTTCGCTTGCGGACTACAGGCCACGGAGATCAGTAGCTCAGGATGTGTGGTGTCGAGTGTTAGGATGAGAGGATGATGAAGTAGAAGGAACGTTGAAGGAAGTGATCGTGGTCTCCTTTGAGATACTCTTCCTACATTTGCCTGGATGTATTGAGGAAAATCACGAAAAACCTCAGTGAGGAAAGACGTTCTGGCTGAGAGTCGAATTAACTCCCCACTCCAAATAGAAATAAGCCAGTAGCGTTACCGCTTAAACCAACAGACAATATTAACATATGGGGAGACGAGGAATGCTTATAGGATGTTGATGGTGAAGCCAGAAGGAAAGAGACCACTGGGAAGACCAAGGCGTAGGTGGGTGGACAATATTAAAATGGATCTTAAAGAGATAGGATGGAATAGTATTGATTGGATTGACCTGGCTCAGGATAGGGACCAGTGGAGGGCTCTTGTGAACACGGTAGTGAACCTTCGGGTTCCATAAAATTCTGGGAAATTCTTGAGTAGCTGCAGAATTGGCGGCTCCTCCAGATGGGCTAAGCTCCATGAGTGAGTAAGTAAATAAGTAATGTAAATTGTAATATCCGTTAGTGCTTTCGTGTAATGTTACAGTTCACATTTGATTTAGAAGGACGGTAAGAGTGACTGCAAGAGTATATTAAACTCTTTGTTCATCACGTTCGAGGGAATGCCAGTTCAAGTCGGAAGTTTATGAGCAATTGTTTCATTCCTTCCGAACTCCGAACTAGAAACCCGGTAACTTGTTCGAGTGCGGGTAGAATTTATAAATTATTGTATACCACACTTCAGTATTTATTTTTATAAGTTAAAATATGAGCATTAAACTTTTAAATATTTTAATGGATGTTCTTGGATGTTGCGCCGTGTAGATCTTNTCTTTTTCTTTGCCGGGAATCGAGCTCTGATTTCTCTCATCCAGTCCGTAGCCTAATCACTGTACAAATCGAGCAATTTACGTAAATTTCTACAAGTTGGGAGATTATTTCACATTGGGATCACCTAAAGGTAAAAAGGGTAAAGCTATGGAGGCCCATACGGTTGTGAGACGTCGAGGCCCCAACATTTTCTAGACAGTCGTCTCACAGATGGCGATATGGTTGTCAGCATTACGCGCCGGCCGCCTTTTACCCCCTAGGAAAATTCCTGGTACTCATTTCTGTTAGAGGCTGAGTGAACCCCAGGTCCATCATGCTGCTGGAAGGATTAAGTCAGTTAAGAAAAACCCACCTAATTGCGTCTCGAACCCGCGACCTTCCGACTTGTAGCATAGTGCCTCAACCAACTACGCAACCGCGTGCCCCCAGCATCAATTATATGGGGCCTACTAACGTCTTTGTAATGGTTGGCCATTTACAGGATACGATTTTTCCCCTACATATCGAATTTTAGATAAAGGCTTTATACAGCCAAAAAATTTGCGTACCACTACAGTATCCCTAAAAGGCTTAAAAAGCAACTCAAAATGTTTTTTAGACAACTGCGTCGCGTGTTTTTGTGATGTCTGCTTTGGAGCAAATCCGTTTAACGACTTGATGACGATAACGGTGTGTGGTGTGGGTTCCTAGGCCGAGCAAATGATATGGTAACCGGGTTTCCGGCAGTAAACGTAATCTCGTTATCCGGTAAATCACAGTCTGGGACTGTAGGTAATACAATCAAGTGCACGGTCCGATAGCACATACAGGCAGATCTTAATCCAATCAAGTTTTCCATACATAGCAGCTAGATTGAACCAGGGCGTGCACAGTGCACTGTAGGTATTAGAGAATGCTCCATAACAGAAAGATATGGCTTACAGCCACTGGGTCGTTGATCGCTCCGGCAACTTGTCACAGCGGTAGCAGTTCATGTTTCGAATATTGGTCATGGAGTCGGCGTTACTGGCCGGTGTTCTCGCAGACTATGAGGACAATTGTCCCCGGGATGCGACGCCCTGTTGTCTGGTAGTTGCGTACCGACGTTTCAGAGGAACGTGCCAACTCAACCTTTCAACCCGGGGGGCAGAGGCAACATGTTTTTAGAAACATCGGTAAACATCTACCAGACTACACGGCGTCACGTCCCGTAATAGTAGTGTTCTAGATGCGTACCGACGTTTCAGAGGAACGTGCC